GCCTCCCAAAGTGCTGGGATTACAGGCTTGAGCCACCGCGCCCACATGTCTTGTGATATATGTTATGTTTGAAAATCGCATTTTGAGAAACACATTGCACATTCTTTGGGTGTTATATTACCCTGTGACCTTGCAGCTAGTCTGCAAGAAAAACGGGAGTCTTGAGATGCCTGGGAACTTTGCTGAGAAAGTAGGGAGAGTAGATAAGGTAGATTTTACAGGTATTGATCGACTTAACGACCTATGCAACCTACGACCATTCGACTTTACGACCACAATCGCTAGCCACAACTGCTCCACATCTGGCAGCGCAAACGTTGCCCAGCTGGGCGTACGACAGTGTGGACCAGCTTCCGGCAGCACTACCATCTCCGCGTGCACCGTTTCAACTGTTATCCCAGACTCGGTACAGCAATTTGTGTTTTGTGTCTTGGATATTTTTCATCAAACCCCTCCCAAGATGTCTACCAAGAGGAAATTGTCTTTGTCTATGCCTCAGCCTGCCAAGAAGGAAAGAAAGGCCATCAATCTTAACACAAAAATGAAGGTAATTAAGCAGTACGAAGGAGGAAAGTGAATGTGATCGCACATGATACGAAGTTATCACACTCGACTGTGTCGACGATTTTGAAAGATAAAGAATTCGTGAAGCTGGGAAAGGTTCTGCACCCATGCAATCAACAGTTATAACAAAGCAACGAAGCGGGCCCATCCACGAAATGGAGAAATTGCTGCCTCAGATGATGACATCAACAATCCGCAGCCAAGCACCAGCGGCCAATAAAATGTTTTGTACATGTTTATATATCTTGATATGTTTTGCAATTGGGAAAATGTTTCCTGTGGTATTTTTTACACCTGTATTTTATATTTTTGTATGCACCTGTATTTTGTAATTTTGTGTGTTTTGCAAATATTAAACCAGTTGTACTGGTAATGCAGTGTTTTACTTAAACCTGACGAATGTAAAAATAAGAAACAAAATGGTGTAGAGATGATACAAATGGCATAAAATGAACAAAGAAAATTATGATATATAACAATGAAAGAAAATTATGATAAAATATGACTTAAAGATTTTAATAACATCATTTCACAGTACTGTACTGTACATATAGCCAAATCAACTTACGAACAAATCGTGTTACAACAGGTCTGTTGGAACCAATCGTGAGTGTAAGTCGAGCACTGGCTGTATTGGAAGTTAGTTAATTTCAAGCAGAGCTGGGGGTTAGGTTTTATATTGAACACAACAGAGTAAATTTTTATTATGTAGCTATTACAGACTACTATTATTATTATTATTTAATTTCCCTCTTCAGGGGTTTCTCCATGTTGTTTCTCCATGGGTCACACTGGTCTCGAACTCCTGACCTCAGATGATCCACCCATCTTCGCCTCCCAAAGTGCTGGGATTACAGGCCTGAACCACTGTGCCCAGCTTGTAAACTGGTTTCTTGAAGGGAGCAAAATTGGTAATGATGAACACTTAGCTCCACTATAGTGGCAGTTAAATTGATCTCAAGACCTACAGCTAATCTGGTGGGGCTCTAGCTCTAGTTCCAAGGTCAGGGAATACAGAGAGAAATGTCCAGGTGTCCACAGATATGAGCTCCAGAGGCAGTGATGACAGAGGCCAGCCCCAAGATGACCAGTTCTACATAGTGCCGTTTGTGAACACAGAAGCATCAGGAGCTATGCTCTGAATAGGAGCTATGCTCACGATCTCTGGAGATTGAAAAACATTACAACAAAGTGTTTAATGGACATTTATCTTGTCCTTCTGCTATTGATTATTTATAATGGTCTCTTTTTGACTGTAAGTTGAACCTTTTAAAAATTAGTAACTATCAGATTTTTCTTCAAACTTTTCAACATCTGTTAGTCTGTTAGGATATATCTTTCTTCAGAAACATCACTAATTATCAGGGAAATGCAAATTAAAACCACAATGTAATACCACCTTTCTTCTGCAAGAATAGGCCATAATTAAAAAATCAAAAACTCATCTATGCTGGTATGGATTTGGTCAAAAGGGAACACTTACACTGCTGATGGGAATGTAAACCAGCACTGCCATTCAGTCCAGCAGTCTCACACTGCGTATCTACCCAAAGGAAAAGAAGTCATACAAAAAGACAAATGCACATGCATGTTGATAGCAGCACAGTTTGCAATTGTAAAAATGTGGAACCAGCCTCAATGCCCATCAATTAATGGGTAAAGAAAATGTGGAATATATATACCGTGGAATACTGCTGAGCCATAAAACAAATGAAATAATGGCCTTTACAGCAACCTGGATGGAGCTGGAGGTCGTTATTCTAAGTGAAGTGACTCAGGAATGGAAAACCAAATATCATGTATTCTCCATGAGAATGCAAGGTCATAAAATGATACAGTGGCCTTTGGGGACTGGCGGGGAGGGTTGGGAGGGGGTGATGGGAAAACGATTACATACTGGGTACACTGCTCAAGTGGTAGGTGAACCAGAAGCTCTGATGTCACTCCTAAAGAAATTATCCATGTAACCAAAACCACCTGTTCCTCAAAAACGATTGAAATAAAATTTAAAAACATTATTGATAAACATACACACACACACACACACACAGACACACACACACACACACGTAGGTTAAACTGAGCAGCTTCTAGTCCGAAAATTTGCTGTGCTTGTAAAGGGTGTGCTATTCAGCCATTTAAAAAACAACGAAAACTAAGAAGATCCACATCCTGTAGGGAGAATTGTTTTCTTCAGTAACTACTATTAATAAACTGATCATTCTATGAAATACCATCTTTTACACAGTTAACATGTTTATGGAAATACAGAGAAGAGATTATGAAGTGCATACATTCCTATAGTAAATTAAGTCCTGGTCAGCTGATTATTCACATATCTGATTGACATTCCCATCATAGCCTTGTGGTTATATGAATAGGAAATTAATGTTAGAAGTAGTTTCAGCTGGGTTTTCAGTGAAACCAATGAGAAAATCACATATCTGCTTATATCCTAACTGCTTTCCATACCAGAAAACAAGCATTTGTTGACTTAGCCAGTGGATAAAACATTGAAACTTTAAAAGCAAGAAACTAAATGTGCTGTTGAGGTATTGTTTTTATACAATTAAGTCTTCACAGTGATTACTATGAGAGTGGTAAGATTACTCTAGTTTTGTATTTATTTAAACATTTGACCAAGTGCTGGATACAGTGGCTCATGTCTGTAATACCAGCACTTTGGGAGGCCAAGGTGGGAGTATCCACTTGATCACAGGAGTTTAACACCAGCTTGGGCAAAGAGTGAGACGCTGTTTCTACAAAAAGAATTTTTAGAAATCGCCCAGCTGAGTGGCATGAGCCTGTAGTTCCAAGACTTGAAAGGCTTAGGTGCATGGGTTACTTGAGCCTGAGAGGTTGAGTCTGCTGTGAGCTAGGATCATGCCACTGCACTTTAGCCTGGGTGACCCTGTCTCAGAAAAACAAAAACAAAACCTTTGGCCAGGACAGGTGAATAATCATGCAGCAGAGGGCTGCTTCCAGCCTGTTTCCCTCTCAGTGCATTCAACTCATCCCACATTCTGTTGTGGCCAGGAGTGACAGATGCTGAGAACCTTGGTGTTTCATTTCTAACTCAACTCAAGAGAAACTGTGTGTAAGGCCAGCACCCTACCAGAAGGCATCTCATAAAATGAGTTTAGTTTAGCCAAGATGTCTCTCTCTGATCTTTCCACCGTTGGAGGTGTAGAGTATCCCTGCCCCATAATAGTGACAGCTAATAAATGGCATTCATCATTTCTGTCATCTGATCACTATTGTGGTGTCTTGGGAGTGAGCATGAAGTCTGAGTTGTGCAATGGAACGCTCAAGAATGAGCCCCAAGTCAGCTGCACAAGTACAGAGGAGGCCATCCCCTTTCTCCTCATCCCAAACTTGGGGTGCTGGATTCAGAATGTACTGCAAGCGGCTGTGCCCTGTTTGGACATTAGCGTAGGAACCCACCTGCATGTGTTTCAAAACAGAATTTGGGGCCATTCTAGTAGCTCAGTGTGATATTTTTAAATAACTAGAGAAAAGTTTTGTTAACTGACTTAACAAAAACAACTGCCTATTAAATGCATATAGTATTGTTTAAAAAGTATCTACAAAATTGTAACCTCAGTGTTTTCTTGCAAAAGAAGCAGAAGTAATACAGAGACCCTTTCAAATGAAGAATCACTGAGAAACAAAATAGAAGTAGGATAACATTTACTTGTGTATCTTTTTGAAGATTATACAAGAATGAATTTGCATCAGGCTTTTCAATTTATGAACATTAGTAGGATTTCCCTCTAGGGAAAGTTTTCACATCAATGTTGAAGAAATTCTTAAAACTGTAGTCTTTTCTGTATTTGGTAATCTACCAGGGTTCCAATCCAATGTGCTTTCTTATATTTATAAGGTCTATCTCCAGTGTGTATTATTATGGGTCTTGGAGAAAATATCATATAAATGAAGGCATTTCTACATTCTCTACATTCATAGGTTTTATTTCAGAATTGAGTTCTTATCTTCATGTGGAACTGGAACAACTGAAGACCTTACCACATGTTTCTATTTATAAGGAATTTCCCATTGAATCCATTCATGTTTTCAAAGAAATAAAAAAGCTGAAGGCTTTACCATGTTTCTTAAGATTATGTCATTTTTCTCCATATTAAACGTGAATATGTCTTTGAAAGCGTAGGGGAAAATCAAGTGTATTTTGTACATTCATGTTTTCTTTCTGGTACAAGTTTTTTTCTAAGTTTTCAAAGAGAATTGGGAAAGTTGCATGCTTTCTTGTATTTCTTCACTAGATCAGGTTCTGTGCAGTGTGAGTCATTTCATGAATTCTAATAAACTAGAGCGCATGATAGCTTTACCACATTTCTTACATAAGAATAATGTTTTTGAAGATAGCCCAGTGAACTAACATGGTCCTGTGTTGGTTTTGTTGTGTTTCTCTTCCCCAGAAATGAATTGCAAAGATACTTCTTGGAGCTTATTAACTATAATTTCAACGTTTCTCTAAGCATTTATACCAGACACTACTTCTATCTTCGTGACTTGGCATTCAGGCATGGCCTGAGTTTGCCATCTTACCTTCTTGACAGAGAAAGAGCATGGGATCTGAAGGTAAGGATACAAAGTCACTAAGTGGGTTTTCAGTCAAACCCCAGTGCCAACATTTATCATTAGGTCATAGGAAGTAGTGATTAGAAAAACGGAAAGCTTCAAAATTGACGTACTGAAGAGCTTATTAACCTTTCAGCATTCTATTTCCTGTATCTCTTATGGTTTTTATAAGGATTCATGTTTTTTAAAAATTATAGATATTATCTCTTTTGTGGCCATAATTCAGAATGTTTAATTAAATTCATCTTAATGAATTTGAATGTTTTGAACCTTTGCCCTTGCAAATAATCATACAGAAATGATTTCTTGCCATTGTATTTCTAACGATGTCTACATCATTAATGCATTTACCGCTCTTGACTCCTTTTTATTACTCAGTTTGGAAATTTCTGTCATTTTCCACTGTGTATACCACAGTGCAGTCAGTCCCATGGGTGTGTTAGAGAAACCATGAGTGCCTAAGCCGAGAGACATGCACTTAGACAGTATGAGGTGTGCGTGTCTCAGGTACGGGCTGCAGGAAGTACTTGGGATTTTACTGGAAATGATAACTCTTATGGAACAAAGTAATATTTGTGGTTTGTGACTTTTGGTAATTACACAGCAAAATTACTCACAGCTGACAAGGATGAACATTTAAAATAGGCACGTTCTGTGGCATCGTGGAAATATTTTAAAATAATACAATTTTCTACCATAAGCATAAAAGTAGTGCCTTTTGATGCTGAATCATTAGACTTTGTTGACATTTCAATACAATCCAGCACATGCCTGCCTGGTTACAATTTTCTTTCAGTATATAATAACTTTATAGATTAATAATATAACTTTTTGCAATGTGTGCTTTCGTTATCTTTAAGGCGCAAGTGCACAGGTAACAGATGATACTGTTAGAAGCCTGTCGCAATACGGTGACATTTTGGGGAGATCAGTTTTTAAGTAACTTAATAAAGCAGGCTCCCCTTTGCTCCAGTAATCTAATTCTAGCCCCGAAAGGAGATGACCTAAGTAAGCTGCCAGAAGTTGGCAGTGTAAACCTCAGCCAAAGTAGCTGTAGCTGAACTATCTAAAGGAGTCTGCATGTGTGGCTTCTCCTCAGTGGTGGTTGTTAAAAGGATGGAACCCTTTTTAAAATTGTGCCTCTTTTCTATTTGACATTCTTAGGCTTTATCAAAGATAGATCAAGAGGAAGAGTTCTATACTGTTCGCAAGACTGGGGCTTTGAGTGCTGATGACTTAATTCGTCTTCAGCGCGCTAAGGCCGTCCTCTCCTGAACAGAAGAAATGAGGGGTAATGTAACATCTGAACCCCTCACCAAAAAAGGCAGGAAAATACCACCTCTCCTGCTAAATAACTAGAAAAGTTTGTATTTTAAAAAGAAGAAATACGTCAATTCAAGTTAACTCAAGGACAACTAGGATTGCACTTTATAGTAAAGGATGGGACCTTGTCAGGGCAACAACACAGTCTTACACTCTTCTGTCCCTTTGAATGTAAACAGAGTCATAGAAACCACTCCAAAGTGAAGACTCCTCTGCCCACTCACAGATACTTGTTAGTGTGTCGGCTGATAGCCGTGAACTGTATCAGCCTTTTTGTGTTTTGTTAGATGAGTCTCTGTTGCCAGGCTAGGGGGCAGGGGTGTGATCTCGGCTCAATGCAATTTCCACCTCCTGGGTCCAAGCCGTTCTCCTGCCTCAGCCTCCCTCTTTAATTAAATGTTTTATTTTAAGTAGCTGGGATTACAGGGGCACCCGGCCTATGTAAGGCTTTTAAAAATTTAAACAGTGGTTTAAATTTTTTAGATTTTAAAAGATAACTTTTTTTAAAAAATATTTTTTCTTTTCCTCCAAATTGCAGTATTAGTATGAAAACATGTCAAAGGAGTTCATGAATAGCACAGTCTTTTCTTCCTGAGGGTCCTCCCCTTCAGGTGTCCCAGCCTGCTCGCAGCAGCCATAGACGGGGCCTTTATACTGAGAGAAGCTACAGAGCGCTGGAAAGCTGAGAATGCACAGGCAGACGTGATCAGAGTTGAGAATAGGAGGCAGGTTGTGATGTCCTCTGTGAGGGAATAATTGTTATAGTCCTGAGGCTGTTTCTAGATATTGTCAAGTAAATTCAGATGTAGCTAAGACATGACTTTATTTTAAAGGAGTATTGCAATGGGGAAAGCTCCAAGCATCAGATCTGCAAGCATCTCACAAGAGGCAGGAAAGGGCTGTTTTTTATGGAGGAGCGAACAACACGAGAAGGAAGGTGGGAGGAAGAGTGGAGAATGGCAAAATCAGATTCAGGCTTAGGGAATGTTTCACCCAGAAGTCAGCCTGCTCTTAGGAGGGGCATAAACGGGGTTTGTATGTTGGCTCAGACTGAAGGCAGAGCAGAGTCCGGGAGCTGGGGAAGGAGAGAAACTTAAGCACAGTTGTGATGGAATTCCTGGAACCCAGGAGGCAAAGGTTGCGGTGAGCCGAGATTGCACCAGTGCACTCCCGGGTGACAGAGTGAGACTCTGCTCATAAGTAAATAAATAAATATTTTAAATAAAGTCTTGTTTTAAACAATTATAGTTTGTATTTGTGTAATTTTGTTAATATAAAAGACCCACCTCTGGAAAGACTATTAGGATTTTCTTCTTACTCATATCCAACTAAATTATACCACCCCGAAAAAAATGAAGTTTTTATTAATCTTATTATCAATTTACATAGATACTTAGACGTACACAACATGCTTAGACTTTGTTTTGCCTAAATATTCTTTCTTGAACAACCTAGTCATTTTATTTTAAGACAAAAAATTTACCACACAAGATTCCTTCTTATATAAAATTGCTTTTTTTCACCTTTATCAAAAGTACCTCTTTATATCTTTAACTTTCTTCTCTTATTTTCTGGTTCCTATTACCTCATTTTATACATAACTTTTATAAAAGCTTTGAATTAGACAAAGATATTGACCTCTTAATAACATTTTAAAAGTATTTTCCTACATTTTTTGAGTTGGAAATTACCCAGCTACTTAATATCTGTTAATATCCTTAGATACCAAATCATATGACAAGTCTGTCTACAGTCATTTATTCCATTACATTTACAAGATTATTTAATATTTTATCTAGATGATGAAAACTGTGATAGTCATTATTTAAAGTAAATTCCCTGTTAACCATTTTTATAGCTGTGAATTTCAGGTGTTTAAGTAATTTTCTTTTCTTTTTTTGTTTGTTTGTTTAAGATAGTTTTGCCTTTATTGCCCAGGCTGGAGTGCAGTGGTGCAATCTGGGCCCACTGCCACCTCCGCCTCCTTGATTCAAGTGATTCTCCTGCCTCAGCTTCCCAGGTACCTGGGACTACAGGTGCCTGCCACCCCACAGGCTAATTTTTTTGTATTTTTAGTAGAAACAGGGTTTCACCATGTTGGCCAGGCTGGTCTTGAACTTCTGCCATCAGGTGATCAGCTCCCCCTCGGCCTCCCGAAGTACTCCCAAATCAGAGGCATGAGCCACCATGCCCAGCCTATTTAAGTAATTTTCTTAAGGTTAAATATAAGGGTATTTTACCAATACCTCAGAACGTAGATGTTTTCATTAAACCAAATTAGTCTATGTCTTTTTTATCAAAAATTACACAAGCAAAGATCATTCTGTCTTGGGCAGGGTTGTATCGTTTTATAACCCTTATAACAAATCTTCATTGTATTCTGCAGGAATAAGCATGAAATCACGTGATCAACAAATGCAAACAACAATGCTGGAAACTTTCACAGCATTTCTAATACTTTCTCAATAATTTGAAAGCAAGCTTATTTCTAAAAGATTTTACTGAAGTCACATAAATGTAAAAAAGTATTTGACTAGTCTTTTTATTGATAAAATGGTTGACTTATGTACTTGTATCTTTCTTTAAGCCAATGAATTATAGCTCTCTATAGTAGAGAAATATTGTGTACACAAATAAATACATAAATCTACTTGGCATGCTGTCAGAAATATGACTTACAGATTCATGAGACCTCTTTTCTTTCTCTGTCATAGACTTTTAAATTTTTTCATTTTTTTTAAATTTAAATAGTTTTTGGGGTAACAGGTGTTTGGTTACACTACAACAAAATCACCACCACCAAAAAATAGATAGTTCTTTACAGTTTATTTCAAAATGAATAATTGAAATAATTTTAATGTTTTTATTTCTAACACTTGGTACTAGTGCTGGCTTGTTTTTGAAGAAAGATTGAGCAGATAATATTATTTGGAACATATGTAGAAAACGGTTTCTGCTTTCTTGTTCTGCAGTGGTGATTTTTGATATTTTGGTGCACTCATCACCTGAACAGTGTACACTACCCAATGTGTAGTCTTTTATCCCTCACCCACCTCCTGCCCTTTCCCCCAAAGCCCCAGAATCCATTGTATCATTCTTATGCCTTTGCACCCTCATGGCTTAGTTCCCACTTATGAGTGAGAACCTAAGATGTTTGGTTTTCTATTCCTCAGTTACTTCACTTAGAATAATGGTCTCCAGTTTCATCCATTATATTGTTCCTTTTCATGGGTGAGTAGTATCCGTGGCATAAATGAGGTCTAGGGAACTCCAAGGCTACTGAGAGTAGGTGGGCTAGAGAGATGGGTGAGAGTGGATAATTGCTATTCTCTAGGCCCTCCCTGCTTCATGAGTGCAAGCTGCTTTGGCAGCTCTCGGTAGCACCTGCCAAGGTTGCTGGGACTCAGGGATGCAAGAACAGAAGAGGGAAAGAGGACACCCTTCTCTTCCTCACATACCCAGGGTATATCTGCTAGGAAGAGAAGGAAACCAGGTGTGCCGGCTCCCCTGTTTTTAGATGGATAGCCATCCATCTTCCGTCTGTACCCCTTTGAAATCCATCCTGAACCCCTGGGACTCCTTTGAAAAAAACATCTTTTTTTTTTTCTCCTCTTCTGTCTTCACAGAGAGCTAATTCTGTCTCTATACTATGGAACACTTCCTGAGATGTATCCTCCAAACTGAGAAAAGTTAAGTTTTCGAACCTTAAACTGGTTGGCTTAGGACTGGGCTCGGGAAGGGAGCCCAGAAGCACAGCATGCTGGCCAAAGGGCCAAGTTTCTTTTTCCCAGTGGGGTTTTTGGCCTCCCTCTCCTGTGCAAACTGGTAAAAGGCCTTGGGACTTTTGAGCGGTCCTTACCCTTCCCCTTATCTTGATTCACTTTGATTTGTTTTGTTTTGTTTGAGAAAGAGTTTCTCTCTTGTGGCCCAAGCTGGAGTGCAATGGTGAGACCTTGGCTCACCAACCTCCACTTCCCGGGTTCAAGAGATTCTCCTGCCTCATGCTCCCTAGTAGCTGGGATTACAGGCACCTGCCACCATGCCCATGTAGTGTTTTGTATTTTTTCTATTTTTAGTAGAGACAGGTTTTCACTCTGTTGGCCAGGCTGGTCTCAAGCTCCTGACCTCAGGCAACCCACCTGCCTCAGCCTCCAAAAAGTGCTGGGATTACAGGCGTGAGCCACCTACCCAGCTCATTTTGTTCTGATACATGCTTTCTAATAATCTGGTGTGTGTTGTCTCACCTTCAGCCATCAAGGTTGAATGGTCAAGCAGCTGGAGCCTCGGACAATGATCCCTTCTGCCAGGGACCCTTAAATAGGCCTCTGAGGGGCCTCTGAGTGCTGTTTTCCCAAAACTGCCCCTGATAATAGGAAGCAGCATCCTTATTCTAACAGCAGTTGGATGGACTTATTTAGAGAGAGGAATGAGGCGGCTGAGTATAAAGGGGTCATCAGAGAACCTCCATCAGGCCTGCACACTGGGAGGAGTGAGCACTGGAGTGGAGCCTTGGGAAGTTCACACTGTTTGCAGTGTGGAGAGCCTGGCCTCTTCCCTTCCTGTATGGAACCTGGAATTCAATCTGTGAAGCGGGAAGCCTATGCTAGCAGGACTCTCACTCTGCTGAGGGTCCCTTGTTCCTCTTTATCCTTTTTGCTTAATACATTTTATTTTTCTCACCCTTCAAAGTGTCTGTGAGCCTAGTATTTCATGACCGTGTGACAAGGACCCTGTCTTTATTCTGGAATGTTTTACGTTGGTCATTTATGCCTCATCATTCATCCATACCCAATGAAGAATCACCACGACAAAAAAGATAGTTCTTGAAATTTTACTTCAAGATGAATAATTGAGATAATTTTAATGATTTTTATTTCTAGCACTTGATACTAGTGCTGGCTTGTTATAGAAGAAATATTGATTTGAGCGTTTAATATGATTTATTACTTGGCACATATGTAGAAAATGGTTCCCGTTTTCTTGTTGTTTATACTCTAAAGAAAACCTGTGTAAACCCCTTTATGAAAACAAAGATTTTATTTGTTTCTATCAAATAAAAAAAACTTGAAGCAGATCTGACATTCTTTTTTTTTTTTTTTTTTTTTTTTTTTTACCAGGGCTCAGGGAGATGGTGACTTGCCCTGAAGCCACATAACTGACCCCAATGCCCCAAATCTCTTCACTGACCTCCCTCACACCCACGCACATACCACTGTCCTTTCCCCCATGCCTCCATAGGTGCTAGGATGTGATAAGTCAGCTCAGGCAGACACAGAGGAAAGAGCACTCCAGGACACGTGCACAACT